ACTTTCTCAAGTCTACCTCTTATGTCATCCAAGTTGACGTGCTTATTGATGGCTTATCTCTAAGTCCATCGCACTTTAACACTTTCAAGTGATCAACCCGTCAAGAARTRTKHTTGGTTTTATAAAAACTCGAATGAAACAATGAAACGTTGTTTACGAAACACTTAGCTATTTTTGTTTGGTTTAAAAATCTCACATTTCCGTCTTACACCCAAACTATAAAAGCTTAGCTACTCATGACGGAAAGTAAAAAATAAATGACGTAAAATAAAGACATAAATGTAAATTGCGTAAAGTAAATGACGATAAAATAAATTGCGGAATTGTAAATGACAATAGAGTAAATGACGGGAATGTAAATGACGAGAATGTAAATAGCGTAAAATAAATGACGGAATGTAAATAGCGTAAAATAAATTGCGGAAATGTAAAGACGAGAAAGTAAATAGCGGAAAATAAAAGACAAGAAAGTAAATAAATAAAAAGATGAAGATGAACTTGAAGAACTTGAAGAACACCCTTGAAGAGGGTTTAAAGTAAAAGGARGAAAAGTTGGGAGAAAAGTTGGGAGAAAAGTGAGAATCCAAAGTATGATGGATTAATTGGGTGTGTAAAATGGTAACTCTAGCCTCCTTTTTATACCCAAAATGGGCACTAAAAGACAAAAGARCTAAGCTTGGAGGCTAAGCTAACCAACACTAGTTACAATACAACAAAAGCATAACTAAAAAGTACAACCCTTAACCAAAGTTCAACTAAGAAGTACAAAAGCTAAACTAGAGAATACATATGAGTTTAACTAGAGAGTACATATGATTTTCTACTAAAAATCCAGCCATTTTACAGCTGTATTCCACCTTCAAAAAGCCAATGTCTTGTTCATTAAGTCCTCCAAAAAGTCGTGTAAGACCCAGGCCAACGCTGCACYAATGCTGTAGCATTTGCTGTTTTTACAAAAACTCTCAATTAGCTTCAATTTTGCATGCCATCAAGTCAACCACAACATTTAGCTTCATAATAACAAAAGTATAAAGAAATAAATGAAAATGACTCAATTTGGGAATGAAAAGAAATTAWCGTAACTAAAAAGTCCTAAAAAGAGCGCGTTATGTGTTAAATTCTCAACACATATCATACACATGCCACCGTATGCACTTGTATGGGTCCATGGATGCTTAAAAATTGTTAACGTCATGAAAACCTAATTTGATTGAAGCCAATTTTCTTTGAATTTTTGTGTTAAAGAGATCAAATTTATTGAGAGAATGCAGAATTATAATAAATTTCCCTATTGTTGCGTTGTTGGCGAAGACCTCTCGTCTTCATTCATCGATCGATCCGACGGAAGAATATATCATGATTACACTACCTCTCTCTACTCGATTTTACCACCCGATAATCTGGTTAATCAAGTCTCCCTGATGCCAAATTCAACACCTCCGGTCATCGTGGATTACTTCTCCGGTCATCCTCATGACTTGACGCAATTTAAAGGCCTAATCGATAGCCATAACCGGTGTTTCTCCGATCTCCGTCATAACAACGAAGAACTAGAACCTTTCTCTCTAGAAAGCCCAACCCTAGCGGATTTCGAACTCAACATGTCGTTGTCTCTCTTACAACAAGAAGCAGATTCAGTTTATTGCCTATAAAACTATACCGATGCCATGCCGTCCCCATCGATCTGTTTTGTTACAAATTCTTTTCGATGGATAAAGATTAGAGACTAAGCGATTGCGGGCAAGAAATGAGCGGTGCAAAGGGCGGGAAGGATGTATGCGTTAAGAAAACAGAGGGGGATCGTGTAATACAATACTGAATTTGGTCTTGCATTCAAGGAGTTGGATGAAATGAAGAAGAAGATGAATTGTATGCTGAATTTGGTCCTTCATGGCTCACTCACTTATGGGTTATGTTCGGAAGGCCGGGCTGATGAAGCGAAGATGTTGCTTGAAGAACGAGTGGATTATGCATTTTCAATTCAAACCCAAATACAATACTTCTCGAGTCTTGATGAAAACAAAGCACCGAGCTCAAAGGTGAGGTTTGCTGCTAATAAACTTTAGATAAAATGTCGGAATATGTATGTGAACCAACAGTTGTCATCCTTTACCCTCTTAGTGTTTGCTAAACAGCCCCTTTGTAGGCCATTTCTATTGTAAATGTTCAAATGCTATTGTCGTGAAATGAATGTAATGCGTGAGAATGTTGTATGCACACGCATTCGTGACAGCCATTTGAACTGTTGCTAATAACCGTCTGATTTGATGGGATGTTTTTGAGGAATTTGGATTTCATGGAAGAATTTGGAGTCTTTGGTGCATTCGATTTTGTAGGACTTTTTCAATTCCATTCTTTATAGATAAATTTATAAGAATACATTAAAAATAATTAAACAACCTTTTATTAATTGATTATTACAAAACGTATTTCTTAACATATTTTAAAACATTATTACAAAAAAAATATATCATGAAATACCAACTATCACATGAGATATCTAAATCCAATGTTTGTGGGATTTCAATTCCAAATCCTTCCAGGTTCTACCAAATCCCACAATCGAAACATACCCTAAGGTCTCGTTTGCTTTGCAAAAATGAAATGGATTTAGGGGTTCAAATCCATTTCAACCCCATGTTTGGTTTGTTGGATTGTCCGCATTTGAAATCCTAAGATTTAAATGAAATCCTACAAACATAGAATTTTGAAATTCTTAGGGACTGCTTGGGATTTCACCGGATTTCCTAGGATTGTATGTAATAAGGTTTTAAAAAATGTTAAAAACACAATTAATAAAAATGTAATTTAATTATTTTTATAATTTTTTATTAAATTATTTACAAATAATAGAATCTAACTCCATTCCAAATCCTACAAACCAAACACACCAATGACTTCGAATTCAAATCCCTGGAAAACAATCCTGCAAACCAAATGGGACCTAAGAGATTGAAGTTGCCAGGATTCTAACTTCTAAATAAGGTCCAAAACATTTGCATGTAACAGAAAGGAATCCACAAGGAAGAAATCAGGAGAAACTTACCTGTTAACTTCACTAAGAGGGGACTGCAACTTGACCAAGTGAGCCATGAGTTCCTTCACATCTATGTTGTTACTGCGGTCAAGATATCGAATATCGTCAGGACCAATATTCGATATTTCGGTGATATATCGGTCCAATATAGCGCTTAATATAATATTTTTCTTAGAATTATATATATATATATATATATATATATATTATATGTATGCATCCATAAACATATCATATGCATTAATTAGAGTTTAGAATTATAGTTTCAAAATTAAAATATCACATAAAGAAGTCTCAGAAAACAAAATAAGAAAAATGTTCAAAAACGAGCTAATCGCAAGCAATAGGTTCGACATCCGAGTCAATATCATCTAATACATTCACTGCTTCGTGAGCAGAAGCGTGAAGAACCGAGAAGAGAAGAAGCATGAGACCTAATATATGTGTTGAGTGGTTGACCAAAAAAAGAGGCCGAAAAATCTAAGCCCAAACATTTGCCTTATAGAAAATCGGTATATCGGACCGATTTTTCCATGAAAATATAGGTGAACTATCGGTACATATCGGACCAAATCGGTATGCTAAAAATGTCCTTCAACCTCTCCATTTCAACCAGGGTATCTCCTGTGAAATCGACGTAATCTATATAACAATTAGTAATCAATTTCACTCATCCAAAACCTTAGTGAATAAAGTGTGGACTGTTTACCCTCAGAAGGACCCTCCTTTCAATACCAAATGGAAACCATGTTCCAGGTGACTGCTAACCAGACCTCCTTCCAATACCAAATGGAGACTTCAAGAATACTTCTTTAGGATCATCATTCTAGAAAGCATTATTAGCATCCAAGTGTAAGAAGACACAGAGGTAGTAGAAATAGGCAGGGAAATACACAAAGGCAAAGCACACCTGTATGTTTTAACATAGTTCTATTCCTTCTTCTGCATATAAAACTTGATAATGAATACATTTACACTTTCAAAAACGTTCATCATCCACTATGAAGCGTGTACTTTAATAACTCAGTAGCCTTACTCATTTCCCCTATCTTTAATGATGCCAAATGAGTATCATTATACTTCTTTAATGATGCTCATATCAAACAAGAGAAAGTAGAAGATATCCTCGTGTTGCTAAATACAAGAGGTTGCAGGCTAGATGCTCAAGCTTAGAATTCAATCATAGATTGTTTTTCCAAAAGGAATCAATTAAGTGAAGCAATAAAAATATTTATGCTGATGGGAGAGAAAGAAGATGCTTCAAATGCGGCTACCTACAAAACTTTAGTTGCTGGGTTGTATCAAGATGGTGATTTGAATCATGTCAAGGTGATGACTTGTTGTATTTGCAAGATAGGAGAAATGAATAAGGCTACTGAGTTATTAAAGAGCATGCTTCACAGAGGATGAAGAATGTTTTTGAAAGTGCAAATATATTCATTATCATGTTTTATATGCAGATGAAGGAATAGAGCTATGTTAAAACATACAAGGTGTGTTTTGCCTTTGTGTATTTGTTAGTTCTTTTTTAATACTAGGACCAACGCTTTTTTTTTGTTTTGGCAAGTGCATGTAGGTTTAGCATAGCTTTCATTTCAGATTGTCCTCCTGACAGAAACACAACCACCAAAATTTGATCACTATGTTTCAAATTTCAGCAGTTACAGTTAGTTAAGTAACCATGATTTGGTTTCTTTAAAAATAATATTGTACCACCACATGTGGAAACAGGGACTAATCTTCAAAAATTAAACCACAATCATCAAATCGTAAAATAGGAATATACATGCTAATTCTCAGTAGGACCCTGCCAATTTGATCAAACATTCTCCTCCAAAAAGGACTACTATGCTCGCTGGCTGAAATATTTGAAGGAAGGGATTGAAATTCAGGATCATTCATCTGGTGTACAGTGTTCTCTTTTTGGGACTGTGTATACTGAGAGGAGGGAGGGGGTAGATATGGTTTTTTGGTGAAGGCTTCATTTCTTTGGGATTGGGGGTAAAGAAGTTATGGTTTGCTGTTTATCTGTGACATCAAGAGAAGACTGATGTTTTTGTGTGCTGTAATCACTATATTGTATATACATGAATCCCATGTCATGGATGCCATGAGTGAGTGGTGGATGGGACTGTCTCTGCTACTAATGATTCTGTGTTCAACTATCAAGACCTGCTTTGGGTTCTGGTTTCCTACAGCTGGGTCAATGGCTATCCCATTTTGATTTTTCAATCTCAGACCACATCAAAATGGTGTTTAGTGGTTGTTTCTAATTTTGGTTGCTGCTGGTTTGAATATGGGTATCTGTGTGGATTCAATCAGACTGAGGGATGGTGGCTTTTCAGAAATCTTTATGGAGGCATAAGGGGTGTGAATGGATGGTGGATCAGGTTATGTTTCAAATCTGACGGTCGTGGCACATTGGTTGTTGACCACTGATCCAGCCAATGTGTTGTCCTATACGGTCCTTTCTTTCTTAGATCAATTGGTTCTTATGGGGACAATTCTTAAATATCTAACATAAACATATGAACAATTTAGAGAATGGTTCGAGATTACTACCTTAAGTCGGAACTTGAAGATACTTTGCGACCCACCCTTTTAACCATTGATTTCTCCTCGTAGATACGTTAGTTTGCTGGTGGTGTGAGGATCACAATACACGAATGAAATCTGGAAAAGGAGTTCCTATTTTATCACCAATACATTACTTCCATTCTTTATCATAAAAAGCGTATCTCCATCTCCAAGCTACCAACAGCACATAGCATCAACGATGATATAAATTACACTTGTTCTTTACATATTAATACAATTTGAATAAATAAGAGTTACGGTTCCAATTACAGTCTATCGATGAAAACAATTGTATGATAGTTTAAAATCCAATATATTTAAAATCCAACATATTTAAACGACTCCATAAATGTGTTCGATTTACACCAAGAGCAAAGAATCAAGAGATCGAGAGCGAGACTGAGAGTTGTAGAGCAATTGAATGAGAGATGAATGAGAGAACTTTTAATAACTCGTGGGGAATATCAGTTTGAATCTCACCATGGGGGATGGGGAGAAGACATAGAGGTTTGAGAGGGTGAAGACATAAGTGAAAGGTGTTAAAAGTATATTGGGAACATGAAAAGAAAACGTAATAATGTGCATTGGTAACTTGTACTATATGTTATTTTAATTGTAGATTAAGAGATTTTAAGACTGAATGCATAAAGTAGTAGTATTTAATGCATTATGAGTTGTTTTTAAGACTTTGTGTATAAATACATAGTACTTTGTGCATTAAAAATTGTTTTTAAGACTTTTGATAAATCTGGTTTATAAGGTAGTATAGATTAATGATAGAGTTTAGACTTCTATTCAAACTACATGTCAATCTGGGTTGTATTGCATTTTATGACAGGACATCGCAAGATAGGAACCATTGCAGTTAACATGGACGGACCCAATGTGAGCATACGGTGGCTCATGCCACCGTTTCATTTCTCCGTCGTAGTGTAAAAAATTATAGGGTCGTGAAAAGTGTCACCCGCATTAATTTGTTGTGTGCCACCATATATATTTTGAAACTACAATGAGGACACAAGTTTTCCTTTGTTGAGTTGGTTTGCAAGGCTTTTCTTACACCCCAGACCCGACTTTGAATCCCATTAGTGTCATTTTCTTAGTTTTTAGTTTTTAATTTCAGATTTATTATGTATCTGGAAAAAATTGCAATAAAAGCTTGAACACATGACCTCACACTAACCAACAGACCAATGATGATTTTGTGAAAAATTTCCCTAGATTTGTTTCTTATAGTCAAATGGTGCAACCGCTTGAAAAAAAATCAGGGTCCGTCCCTAGCACTTAACATGAAATGAAGAGAATGCCACTTCTAAAGCTTCACAGGGAACCTAGGAGAGCTAAAGCTTGTCATCACTTAAAAAATACGAAATAATTTAAACCAAAGATAATTAAAAAATAATCTCAAGACAAGGTAACGTTTTAGCAAACACCATACTTATGATGCATATAGTGCAACAAAAAAAATTGTCCACATACCTCAGGATGTGTTTCGTTATTCACATGTCTCTCACTTCGCACGCCTCAAAAAAATATTAACATGGAATGAAAGAAATGCCACTTCTAAAAAATAATCTCAAGAAAAGGTAAGGTTTTAGCTAACACCTTACTCAAAGATGCATATAGCGCAACAAAAAAAATGTCCACATACCTCGGGATGTGTTTCGCTATTCACATGTTTCTCACATCGCACGTCTCTAAAAAATAACTCCCCACCAGTAAACTGCTTGCCCAAGCATACATTCAAAGTTACTTCTGAGTCATCCACATGAAAACCTATAAATGAAGATATATGAGTGTTCTGATACAAATAAAATGCTGTCAAGAATTTTGACGACTGAAACAGTAACAAGATTGAGATACCATAATACAATGACTAGCAATCATGTGAAGATAATGCCATGTGTAAAAAATTTAAAATTTAAAGCTATCACTCAAAATCTGATTATGTAATGCCATATATCTTGGTGCTCTTTCATCAACATTGAGGCCATATCTAATGTACCAAGCATTTTAAGCCTCATTTTGTTTTCCACAAAGATGGCCATTTTCCCGTTGCATGAAATAGATATAGATATATAAGGTTGGGTTCCGGTGAGAATGGAAGTTATGGTGAGAAGGGTAAGAAGGGATCTCCACCCTTGGATAAATCCTAACTGAAGATCAACATTAATGCGGTGCATTGATCAATTCCCGAGATAACGGAATTCATGGGGTGGGGGTGAGATTAAAAGTGATCAAGGGTCCAGATCCCTTCTTAGGCTTCTCACTTTAATTCCTATTCTCACACGATCCTTCGCCTATATATATATAGCTCTAGGTGCAGAATTCCTAAGAGAATGTACCATTTAGAAACTCTCTATAAGGGATGAAATCCAAATTGTAACAAGATATGATAATTCTAATACAATGCGAACCCTAAAATTGTAACAAGATATGATAATTTGGTTGTAGGCAATTTTCTCTCCACATCCCTAACAGCTACCACCACAGCATAGTATATAAGCTACCAATGGAAATTATTTTCTTTCAGAATCCTGACAATGTGCATTTAAAGCCTAACATATTCTTCGGTTACTTTGGATATGGCATGCACAAGCCAAAATCAACTAATTTTCTCTCTTCGTCATGCAAGAACAGACCTCTAATTGGTTGAGCTTTAATATAAGATTTTATTAGATTTCATCCTAGGCCTAGAAAATGTTACAAATTAGACTTTTAATTTGTTTATTCATCTGTACTCTATGATCTGCTATAAAAACTTGCAGTCATACGATTTAATTTGATTGCTCTATATTGGATGGGATATGATCATATATCCATATACTTCCGTGGCTCTTTTTTCTGAGTTTGTGCCATGCTTGCATCACAGCCATACTCACTATGACCCCAAGGGAAAGATCAGGAACTTCCCAACTCTGGCAGAGAAGTGGCATATTAGCATCAAAGTAGCTACCATTCTCGRATGTATAGTGCCAATCACACCAAGGACACTAACTACATACACATGTGGTTTGTCCTGAAAAGACCAATGRATAGAACCTATTACCCAAATTTTCCTCCATATTTCCATGGGGCTGTTAAAAAATGCTTATTAGTCGTACAAAAGTACCAAGATAGATCATAAACAGCACTACAATGKGCAGAAACTGGTGAAAACAAAATTGACAATGAGAAAAGGTTGGTTGCCAACGTAAGAAACATGAAAATTTAACTGATAATATACCCAATTCGACATCTCTATCCATTCCGTACTCAACCACAAATCCATGATTGGAATCAAGAGAATATCCTCCAACGTCAGGGAAGAAAACTGCATGAAATTTAAAAGCAGAAAGTGATGTAAGAGATATGCAGGGCATCTGTCAACCTTTCAAACCTCTCTACTACTTTTTAGTTCATGCTACTTCTTAGAGCTTACTTTTTGAGATATGTCGTATGAAGTCTTCCATCAACTTCTCAAGCATGGATTCCATGCCAAAAGTCATCAAGAACGGCACCATACTTGTTCATTGTATTTGGTCGCATGATTCTGAACTTTGTTTCATGGACCCATTTTTAAAAAATTTCTACCTAAGCAATCAGAACCTGATAAGAAAGCATAACAACTAAACTACAGGAAAAGTTGGGTGTTTCACGCCCAATGACAAGATGACATTTACAGAGCTAGTTAATATCTCGCTTAGCAGCATTTCACAGAAACGTGGCTGCAGCATATCAAACGTATAGACTCCTGGAGTGGGTTCAGACACTATGCTTCTAATACTTTCATCTTTATTCTTATCACTGGCACTGAATGCCTTCACAAAGGAGTGGACGAAAAACGTTGCAGGGTTCAATGTATAAAGTTCTCTGTACAGAGGCTGAGGGGAAAAAAAGATACGCATCTCAAACGGCAGACAAGGAAAAGTGTGGTTGATGTATTATGTCCATATAAATGAAGTCCATTCAATCAATTTCAGAATTCCAACACTTGGCATAGAATTCAACTTTTAAATGCGACAATTGTGAAAATGCGATTGTAAACAAACATGTATGACAAACAAGCCAAAAAATAGACTTTTAAATGAAGCCTCTTACTGCATCTAGCATACAAGTCTCACGAACAATTGTGAAATAGCAACGGTATAAGTTAACAAAACTAATGAAACCAATAAGACATCAYATATTTGAGTGGTATGCTACATGCTAATAACATTGAGCAAGAGTATAATGTTTGATTAAACGACGGAAAATAAAGCAACAAGCAGATCATTGGTGTTCTTTAACTGAGTGAACCAACAAGCGGATAAGCATCGGAAAGATGTCCAATTTATAGTGGATCGTTGGTGTTCTTTAACTTGTGACCGTATAGACAAAATTCCTTGAGGGAAAAAGGAGTGAAGCTAGCAGCCCGGTTTATGGACCATTTCAAGCATAAACCATTTCAAGTCTTGTGCACAGAGGGAGTAGTGGTGGCAGCAAAAAGCCAAAAACTAAGATCCATTAGGTGTTTCATGTTTCTCAATTACGGAGAGCTATTGGGTCGTGTCATTCATACAAGTTTATTCCAACATAGTTGAATAAACATATGGAGTTGGAGACAAGGTGGATGTATGGCGGGCAGGTAATAGTAAGCCACATATATGTTTTACGAACTCAAGAAGTAGGGAAGGCAGAATGGTCCTTTTGATTCACAAGTGGTTACACGTCGGAGTAGATGGTTAAGTCGGTGGAGGAGAAGCATAACCAGGGGAGGTTATGGTAGTTGAAGTCATCAGTTAGTTTGTGAACATAACTGGAGAGAGCCAATCGCTCAAATATTGACATTGTAGTAGAAATCTTTTAATATCCAAATGATTCATCAGAACACTGCATTTTTTAACCACGAGGATCAGTGTGAAACACATATTTTCTAAAAATACAATCATCTGTCTTACAGTTGAAATACCCAAGAGTTATCTCAACATTTGGCTATGATCCTGCAGAATTGTGACATAACATAATACCATAAGCACATCTTACATAATGACATTAATCTATTTCTTTTGAGGTAAATTTAACAAGTAGCATAAATTAAGAAACCAGTGAAAAAACCTGATAAACCACATTCCTTAGAAAATTGGATGGGTTCAGTTCATTTTATGGCAACAAAACCACGCCTGCATTCAATCGCCAACTCCTAGAAACAGTATTTTGTGATTTGATCAAGCAAAATTTATTCATAAGCATCAAGAAACGTGTTATGCACTGGCCCAATAGTAGGAGTAATATTCTAGAACAGGTAGTTGGGGAATTTTGATCCTAGAATCTGTTACGGCTGTGAATGAATAGGGAGTTAGTGAGAGTGAAGGATCATCCAGAAAATTATCCAGAGTTCTGTTTAGGAGAAACTGTTCCTTTTTGTTGTTAATTGAATCATCAGCCACTTGTTCTTATCTCCTGGATATTACTTCCATTGTTTAATCGGTCCAGTTCATAACAAACGGTACTTACTTCTACGTGCTCAAAGGAGTCCTTTCAGGACTGCAATAGTCGGAACATCATCGCAAAATGAAATCAACGAGCCTCCAAGATTCGTTGGCAGAGCAGAACGATTGAACCTACATCACCAAAGATAAACCGAACAGAGAAAGAAGCCAATTCTGAATGATCAAACTCAACCCCAGGAGAACCACGATCAATAGATAAATGGAAGCCAATAAATAGATCCATGACCTTGAACCAGAATGACTAAAAACCCTAGAACCAAGTAACCATTAGCCACCCAAAGCCCCTTATGGACAAGCCAAGAGCATATAGGCCGTGGTGAACCTGTGACATGGATGCATGAATTAACTGAGGATAGACGGATCTTACCTTCAGGACGGTAAACAAAGCAAAACTACAAAAACCCCACAAAATTCTAGCCTACTTTATGCTTAACCATAAAAATGGAAGATTCCACAACTTAAAACAAAACTACTATCCTTAGACATATTAAAACAATTAAATCTCAAAACCATTTTTAGAAAACAACAATCAATGGATAAATGGAAGTCGAAAGGTAAATCCATGACATCGGACTTAGAAGGACCAAACAGTCAAACAACCATGAACTTGGTAACCTTTAGCCACCTAACGCCCTTCAATGATAGGAGCATATAGGAGGTGGTGTACCCGTGACATGGATGCTTGAACCAAATAAGGATAGGCAGACCATGCCCTCGGGATGGTAAACAAAGGAAAA